GTCCACTTTGTTGTAGTAATCGTCTGGAGATAGTACAGGATTGCCACTATCAATGTCCAGTTGGCAGTCACCCTGAAAGTTGTGGTTGTTATTATGTGTTTTATATATGTGTTGTCTAAGAACTTTTGACAGAATATGGGTGGGTTTACTTACTGCCAAAGATGTATCGAAGAACCACCTTGTGAATTTTCCTTTTTTTGCTTCATTCCTGTTCATTACATCTCCATACCAGCCGATGACATCAGATGTGATTTCACAGCCAATGTCAATTGACTGTACTGACTCCCTTTTCAGCATGAATGTTCCATCCTTCCTTTTAAACATTATCTCATCACTGTATACAAGCACATCACAACAGGACGGATGGTTTACTTTAATTTATCACATCAAACAATAGGTTACCACAACAAAACCATAGCTTACCACATCTTATCATATGGTAATAAGTAAAGCACACCAGCTTAGCACATCTTACCATATGGTAATAAGTAAAACACACCAGCTTACCACATTTTACCATATGGTAATAAGTAAAACACACCAGCTTACCACATCTTACCATATGGTAATAAGTAAAACACACCAGCTTACCACATTTTACCATATGGTAATAAGTAAAATAGAACAGGAGTTATGGTTTAATCCATTCTTTAACAACAAACCTTAGCTTACCACATCATACCATATGGTATTAAACTAAAACAAAACAGGACTTGTGCATTACTACATTTTGTAACATTAAACCATAGATTTATCTAACTTTACCATATCTTACCATATTTTACCATATGGTAACAAACTAGATCACTACAATAACATCATATAACAGTAAAAGTTTTAAGATGATGACTTACCTCTTGGCAAATTTCTTGTTTTTGCATCTTATGTACTCCAGGATGTTGCTGAACATATCATCAGGTGTGTTTGTGTTGGTGTTGACCATTCAACTGGTGATTTTTGTGACTGTGGAGCAACTGGGTCGGCAGCTGGAGAATTCAGGTCCTCTAGGTAAGCATCTATGCATTCACGGACTTCCTTGAGCTTCTCTTGGCTGTTTGTGTACAGATTTGACCATATAGCATATGACCCCGTCTGTGACTGGGTGCTTTGTGGCTGTTCTGGTGGTGGTGTTGCTCTTGCCTTCTTTTCATTTCCGTGTACATTCTTTATCACGATTCTTCTTTTGCGAGGCTCTGCTGGTTGATCGGTTGCTGTGTTGGTAGTCAACTTTGTTGGTGTTGTTGGTGTTTGACGGTTGAGAGGGCTGAGATCAAAGGATGGAATGTCGTCTTCCCTCGTCACTTTAGGCTTCTCAGCAGCTTCGGTTGTCAGTTTTGGAGCCTCTTCACGAACAACATCATCTGATACCGTCTTCTCGCTGTCAGTTTCTGCAGTCTTTTGTGCAGCTTGCCCTGTATTCCCTTCTTCTCTTGTTTCCTTATCAACTTCCATTGCATCTGCTGTTTTGGTAGCTCCTTTTTGTTCGGTTTCTTCTGCAGATGTCTGTTCTGGAACTGCTTTCTGGGTGTCCTCTGTTCCAACTTCCCCCAGTGGATCTCCTTCTTTTGGGATGCTTTCTCTATTCACAGCTCCTGGAGCAGAATCATCTTGCTCCTTTTCTTTTGGCTTCGGTGTAGATGCAGCAAGATCGACTGTAGATGGTTGTGAATCATCTTCTTTCTGTGTTTGCTCCTCGTTCTCCTCTTCGTTCTGGTCTATGTTTGTCTGTTTGAATATTTCATTGAGTGTTTTATTCAAACTGTCATGCATTTCTTCATCATTCTCTTCTTCATCATCTTCACACTGAGATTTTTCTCCTTCTGTGGGCTGAACATATTCATCACAGCTTTCTTTCGCAAGATTCTCCTTGTGTCTGATCAGATTCTCAATTTGGCTTTTGTACTGGTCTTTTATTGCTTTCATCATTGCCTTCATTGATGCTTCAACCAGTTTGATTGCATTCTTAGCCTGCATAATGGGAGTATGGTTAGTTACCATGGTGGTAATACATGGTATTGGCAATTATTATCACTATTCTGCATTTTTATAACATGAAACTATATCTTACCACACCTTACCATATGGTAACAAAGTAAAACAGAACAAGAATTATGGTTTCCTCCATTTTTATAACATGAATTCATTGCTTACCACACATTACCATATGGTAACGTATTAAAACACAACAGGACTTATGTTTTCCTCCATTTTTATAACGTGAAACCGTAGATTACCACACCTTACCATATGGTAACAAACTAAAACACAGCAGGACTTGTTGTTTTTTGTTTTTTTAAAACATGAAAGCATAGCTTACCACACATTACCATATGGTAACAAAGTAAGACAGAACAAGAATTATGGTTTCCTCCATTTTTATAACATGAAACCATTGCTTACCACACATTACCATATGGTAACGAAGTAAACCACAACAGGACTTATGTTTTGCTCCATTTTTATAACATGGAACCATAGCTTACCACACTTTACCATATGGTAACAAACTAAAACACAGGACTTACGCTTAGCATGTATTGGACAACTGTAATATAGATAATTTGTACTTACTTGGTTGACTGTTCTGATATTCTTCAAATCAAAGTTCAGTGATGATGACTGCTCGGGACTTTTGTTTCTTTGTCTTTTCGATGATTCATAGACTGGCTCATTCTCCTCTTCCTCATCAGCTGCGTCATCAGCCTCATCATCAGCCTCATCATCAGCCTCATCGTCTCTAATGTTGGCAATCTTTTCGATCTCGTTCAACTGTTTTCCATTGTAGTAGCTCTTAATGTTCTCAAAGTTGCTATCAACATTGTTATCATCATAGTAGCTTACTGTTGGTGTTCGAAGCTGGGTTGAGAATGCCATTTCGTCCAGTTTGTACATGAAGCATACCTTTTTATGCAGATAGTTGTATTAGTTTTTTCAAAGAGTATCATTTATATATAAAATATATGAGTAACAAGGTTGAAATGGCCAAGGGAATGGAGACTTACTGTAAGGAAGTGAAGATCTGCATTGACGTAGAGCTTTGATGATTTCAATCCTTCATTCATGTGGTTGAAGAAGTATTTGCACCAGTTGTAGCTGGTGAAATGTTTATGTTCATCAGTCTTCAAGTACTCAAGCATGTTGAGTTCAGCCATAGGGGCTGAAGTTGGGCACAACAAGCCTCCGGTGACCAGCAGAAAGAATAATTGTAACCATCTCCTACTGTTGGTAACTGTAGAAAGATCTTTTTCTACCTGACTTAGCTTTACCCTTGGAGTGGATGCTCCATCTACTTCCAGTAGGGTTTCTACTGCATAATCTGCTGCATCGTCCCAAGAAATCGTGGGAGGTACAACTTCCCTATTCCCCATTGGCAGACCATATACCCTATGAAAGTCGATTGGTGATATCTTCATGCGTGTCCCGTCAGGTAGCTTGAAAGATTGTTTCATTGGATTGTATTTGTTCATTACGAACAGTGCAAAATGGGTGTTTATCTTTGTCTGCTTGATTGATATTAAGCCTGCTAGGCCTAATGTCTCAAGTTTCTCTTTCTGGTCATCTTTTATAGTCCTTGCAATTGCAGATATTCTTGTTGGGCTGCACCTTGTGCGAAAATTTTTTCTTTGGTTTACCATAGTGTACCTGAATGTAGAAATTAGGAATAGTCTGTTAGCGTGCTTTTTATCATGATATACCATATGGTACCATAATGGTTTCCTACCATACCAAATCAAACCATATATTTATCTCATTTTACCATATGGTAATTACATCAAACCATGTCTTATAACATATTACCATATGGTAACGAAGTAAAACACAACAGGATGTATGTTTTCCTCCATTTTTATAGCATGAGACCATAGGTTACCACACATTACCATATGGTAACAAACTAAAACACAGCAGGACTTATGGTTTTTTGCTATTTTACAAGATGAAACCATAGCTTACCACACATTACCATATGGTAACAAACTAAAACACAGCATGACTTATGGTTTTTTGCTATTTTACAAGATGAAACCATAGCTTACCACACATTACCATATGGTAATAAACTAAAACACAGCAGGACTTATGGTTTTTTGCTATTTTACAACATGAAACCATAGTTTACCACACATTACCATATGGTAACGAAGCAAAACACAGCAGGACTTATGGTTTTTTGCTATTTTACAACATGAAACCATAGTTTACCACACATTACCATGTGGTAACGAAGCAAAACACAGCAGGACTTATGGTTTTTTGCTATTTTACAACATGAAACCATAGTTTACCACACATTACCATATGGTAACGAAGTAAAACACAGCAGGACTTATGGTTTTTTGCTATTTTATAACATGAAACCATAGTTTACCACACATTACCATGTGGTAATGAAGCAAAACACAACAGATTCTACATCAGTTCAGCAACGCATGGAGAGTGACTGCGATACTGTTCTATTGTTCTGTGGATGGATTTCGAAGAAAGAAGTGAGGTTTTACCTTGATATTTTGTGCGAAAACGATTTTTGAGCCTCGTTGAAGTTGGAAACTCTTCGTTTTTCGACGAAGAAGCGAGAACAGTGTATCGTTGAATGATTCTTCGAAATCCTTTGCGAAAATCGTTCGCTTTGAAGTTTTTTCTGGAAGTTTTTGCTGCGATTTTGGTGAGAGAATTGAGAATTGGGAGGAAGAATGGAGAGTTAGAGAGGAGAGAGGGAAGTGGAACTGTCGCTTGAAAGGTGAGAGGAAGAAGGAGAGAAGGCGGGACGGTTGTCGCTGTCACGTCTGCAATTCAAATTGTCAGAGACGTGATTACGTTTTTGCCCCCGCGTGTATTTTAACTGACATGATCTGACGGCTGGGAAGATGGCGCGATGGACGGCCGGATCATCGGTTACTGACCGTTACTGATAGGTCGGTTACTGATAGGATCCGGACCCCTTGCTGCTTGGGCATTCAATACCCATTTTATTTCAAAGTGTCAGGCCCAGCCCAAGTAAACTCTCCAATCCTCATCTTTCCTGCACTATATATGTTCGCAACTAAACCGCGCAAAACCCTAATCCACTTCCCTGAAACAGATAGAGAGAGCCATAAGCAAAGAGAGGCAAACAATGGCCGACAGAGGTGGCGCCGACCGAGCTGGTGGCGAGAGAGGCCGCCGTGGATTTGGGGGACGAGGAGGCGACCGGGGAAGGGGTCGTCGCCGCGGTCCCCGCCGCGAGGAGGAGGAGAAGTGGGTCCCTGTGACCAAGCTCGGCCGCCTGGTGAAAGAAGGCAAGATTCGAAGCTTGGAGCAAATCTACCTACACTCGCTCCCAATCAAGGAGTACCAGATCATAGACACCCTCGTCGGCCCTGGCGTTCTCAAGGACGAGGTCATGAAGATTAGCCCCGTCCAGAAGCAGACCCGTGCCGGACAGCGCACCAGATTCAAGGCCTTCGTCGTCGTCGGCGACGGGAACGGCCACGTCGGATTGGGTGTCAAATGTAGTAAAGAAGTTGCCACTGCAATTCGCGGCGCTATCATTCTAGCGAAGCTATCTGTGATTCCCGTCAGGAGAGGGTACTGGGGAAACAAGATCGGGCTGCCCCATACGGTGCCGTGCAAGGTCACCGGGAAATGTGGCTCCGTCACAGTCCGGATGGTGCCTGCTCCACGTGGTGCTGGGATCGTCGCAGCTCGCGTGCCCAAGAAGGTTCTGCAGTTTGCTGGGATTGAGGACGTTTTCACTTCCTCCCGTGGATCCACAAAAACCCTTGGCAATTTCGTAAAGGTCTGATTCGATTTTTCCGTTCGTTTGTTCCAATGCTGATTATTTGTCTTTTGGAATGGTTTCTTCTCTCTCTGTAGATATGATATTGGATGAGCTAGGTTATAGTTTTACTTGTGGTATCTGAAATCAACCTAGGTGAAGTTTGGGATGGTTAGCTCTCACGATTGCTAATGAAGTTCATTTCTTAGTTGGATTGCTAGGGAGTTTGATTCTCTGAGTTGGGTACTTGAAGGTGCTGTATGTTGTAGCGATGGAGTTTACCTCTGGGGAAATGCTTGTCAAGTAGTGCAGTTTGTTTCTGATAGTTTGGTCACACAGCTTAATCTTCTCAAGACAAAGCTGTATTGGGTTTGATTGTATATGAAATGGGAAGTGGTATCATTAAATTGAATTTGGTAGACTTGACACAATGTATGCAGTTGGGAGCAGACTGATTTGGTTCATAATGCTTTGTGGTAATCCTGATTCGGGAAACTGGTTGTACTCATCTGAAGTTGGTCTGGTCTTGGTTTGATGCAGGCTACTTTTGATTGCCTCCTGAAGACTTACGGGTTCTTGACGCCTGATTTCTGGAAGGACACCCGGTTCACCAAGTCACCTTTCCAAGAGTACACTGATCTTCTAGGAAAGCCAACCAAGGCCCTTATCCTCGAAGATGTAGAGAGAACTGAGGCTTGATGTTGAGTTTCTGTAAGATGAGATTATATACTAGCAGTCTTGAATACTTGGTAGCTTCTTCAGAACAATAATCTCGTCAATGTTCCTCTGTTCGCGCATGTTTGTTTAGAGAAAATTTTGAATTCTATCTTCGTGGTCATAACTTTGTTTCTTTTCACTTCAATCAAAATTTTGATGGTCTATAGCTCGGATATGGGAATTCTGTGCTCCCTCTTCATCAATTAACTTCCGAAAACTTTCCTTCTCTGTTCTTTTGCCCCTTTTTCACTTGCTACTGACTACTAAATTATCGATTCTCTTACATTTGTTATAAGCCATCAACTTTCTTTTTGTCCCGTAGATACGTTAGCAGTGATTTCATGTCAGGGTGAGATGATTCTCCTCTTTCATTAGCCTTAAATGCCGTTCTTGTTTGTGATCCTCCTCTTTCATTAACAGTGATTTCAACACATCAGTAGCTGATGACTTCTCATGGGTGAATTGCTCTGCTTCAAACGACTCTCCGGTGGCACCCCCATTGCTAAACCTTCAAGCGTCTGCTGAGTTCTATGATTCCATCTGTAGTGTCATGAATCCTCCAATGGGTCTATGATCCAGAACACCATTTGAGTCGCTTATCCATTGATGATCAACCCTTTCCCTTTCGTTCTCTCCTCAAACCCTTTCGACAATAATTTTCCTTCTTCACATCTCAGATGAAGCTTTGTCTCGATGATGCCTCTAGAGTAGGGTTGGAAATCCATTTACAGTTTTCTGTTCAAATCGGAAACTGGCAGTTTAAACTGCCCAATTGTAACCAGAAATCGGATACGATCCGATTTGGATTTCGATTGTGAGTATTTGGAGAAAAATCGTACTAAGCATAACCACCGGTAAAATCGGAAATAGTCGAAAAACCGAAAGCTTACCTATCAACTCAAAGCTTGACCCCAAGTCTCAGCGCAGTCCAGATACCCAAGCCCAACCCGCAAAACCCTAATTGTCAAGCCAGCCTAGTCCTCCCTCTCCCTCACGACCTCACCTTTCACAAAACCCTAATCGCTAAGTTGCATCGCCACTCTCTGCTCTTGAAGAAGAAGTGAAGTAGAGGAAGAAGTCTAGTGATCGACATTGTTGACACAACTCTCTCCCCGACTTCACCGAGATGCCCCCTCTTTGGCCGAGGTTTGCTCACTGCTCTGGGCGATGCTAACGACGATTTGCGAGTTGAAATTGCACCCGATCTGAGTACGCAAACCTCTCTCTCACCAGCGAGGCGGCGGAAGCGAGCAGTTGATCTCCAATCATCGACTCTCCACCAGTCGTCGGCTGTCCAATTATCATCTATAGAAGAAAGGCAAGAGGGAGAAGAGAAGAAATGAGAGGGAAGGAGGGGATTTTGTGGTCTGGTGGCAGAGTGCGACAGCGAAGCGATAAGAGATGGAAGAAGATATGGATTTGGTCAATGCAGTCAAAAGCGCGATTCTACGTAGAAACGCTTTGGTGACCTAGAAGCTTAAAACCGTAAGATTTTAAGATTTAAAGCGTAGATTTTGACTACACTTGTAAGGGACAAGCTCGATTCTACGTAGAAGCGTTTTGGTGTTTAAGAAATGTAAAAAACGTAAGCTTTTAAATTCTAAAGCGCGATTTTGACTGCATTGGATTCGGCCATTTGGGAAGAGAGGGTAATGATAGTGGATGCGGTTGTTGTACACAATATTTTTTAATTTCAAACGCTGCGTTTGAGGAGGGAGCATACATAACCGGTTTTTGGATGATACCGGATCGGACCGGATCCAATACAGTTCGGTCACAGTTGAAACCGGGTCCCCATCCAGTTCAGTTTCCGGTTGTTGATTTGGCCAGAAGGTTTAAAAAAAACCGGGTTAATCCGGTCAAGTTTAACTAGACCAAATCGTTTCCACCCCTACTCTAGAGCCTCACAATCTCATTTAGTTGAACATTAGAAATTGCGAATCCACTTCCAAGGCACGCGTAGAGCACCGAATATGATTCTTTGTTGTCGAGCCATCTCAAACATTCTTGCTTAGTTATGGGTCTATGGCGACCACTATTCCTCTCTCTTTCCCTGGTCGGGAGCGGATCCCATGCATAACCTACTGATCAATAACCATGTATAACCCAACTAAAATCCGTCACATCAGCGTCTCTCTCTCTCTCTCCTAGAAAGCCTTTAATCTTTTCCCCTTTAATCTTTAACGAAGATTTCTCTCCCGTTTGAAGTGAGATTTAAATTTTTTTGCACAGATAAATCAGACTAATTAGTATTGAAATTAGAGCATACCATATGGTATGAAAGTTAATCATGGTGATATGAACATACCAAGACTGTAGGATGGTTGAATATATGATAGTAGGAGTATACTAACTGTCATTTACGACTTTTAACATTGTGTACCACAAAATACCACCCCATACCAGGGTGGTATTGTATGGTATTTTTTGTTCTCGTATTTTATTTCACTCAGAAATTTGTAGATCCAATAGATCATGATGAACTCGTTACTTCTATTCAAAAAATTTCAAAAACAACTTAAAAACAAAGGAGATACCATATGGTATGAAGTTGGTAAAGAGAGGTATGTAATTTTTTTCTTAAAAATATTGAAAATGGATCTAATTTGTAGAGCACAACGAACTCGTTCCATCTGCGCAAAAAAAAAAAACAAAAAGAATTCTAAGTTAGAACGAAGAAGATAAGAGTCAATTAAGAAAATGAGGGAAAATAAAATGTCGTTATTCTCAATCTTTAGATCTGAATTTTATGGACCCACTAAAAAGGAATGTCCAGATTTAGTTATGCAAGGATGCATAACCAAGGGTATGCACTCTAAATTGAGCCCCCCTAGTCACCCCCTTTACTCTCTCTCCCCAGAAGCCTGGAGGAAGACAACAAGTGCTAAGTAGTGGCAGTAACGACATTTTAGGCAGTGGCGGTGACAACCCTCCCTTCAACTACAATGACTCCATCACATTCCTCTCATCGTTGCCATGTCCCTGCTCCACCTTGTAAAATCATGTTGACGTTCCTCCTATCGACGACATCGTGAGTTTTCTCCCCCCCCCCCCCTTCACATGTCTCTCTTTCTAGGGGTGGGCAACCGGTTCGGTGAACCCGAACCGGACCGGACCAAAATCGAAATAAACCGAACCGAAACCGAACTATTGTTATTCGTTTCAGAATTCGGAAGGCAAAATCCTATACTTTGGAAACCAGGGTGTGGCCAACCAAACTCGAAATTCCGAATTCCGACCGAACAAACCGAAATTCCTCTCACTCTGACACACAACCCTAGCCCACTCTCTCTACCACTAAAACCCTAGCCCATTCCAAAATCATCATCATCATCTTCTTCTTCCAGCATCCTGCATCCTGCCTCTTTGCCGTTGCCATCCCCTGCCGTGAATGTACCGCCGCCGACTTCCTCTGGCCAGCCACTGGAGTCCTATACCTTTCCCTTTCTCCATTCTCTTCTCATCGCCGGTCATTTATACTCAAAACCAACCAAAATCAAAATCACATATTAGCAAAAGCATACAAAAAATTTGAATTAAACAAAACAAAACAAAACAGAATCGTTTTACCAAGGAGGGATCCAGATCTGCTCCTGTAGTTCACGGCCGCAGCTGTGTCGTATCGTCATCTGCGACGGCCGATGCTTGATTTCTGATGGGAAAAAACCACATGCAAGCGGCGGAAGTGAAAGGGCCGCCATGGGAGAGGGCGATCGGCGACGAAAGAGTGGAGCGCGACCTCGGCGGCAGAGGGAACAGAGCACAACTTGAAGCATAATGGAGAGGAAGGGACTCGCCAGGGCAGCCGTCGACGACTGATGGAGTCGGATCTCTATCTCAGATGTTGCGGCGGAGTGGGAAGAAAGACGAGAAAGTGAGAGAGGTCTCAGGAGGAAGAGGAACAAATTAGGTTTTGTGGGGCTCTTTTGTCAGTGAAAAGAAGAAAGAAAGAGAGCGAGAGAACATCGGAATTCGGGGTTACCGATTCCGAACCGAGTAATATTTCGGTTCTATCAAACCGAACCGAAATATAATTCGGTTCGAAATCGGTTTGACCTTTGAATGGAATTGGAATACTGGTATGCACCTTTTCGATTGGGTTCAAACCAAACCAACCGAATGTCCACCCCTATCTCTTTCTACTAGTCTCTCCTTTTTTTTCTTCCAAAACTCATATCTATGGTATTGGTACGTATAAACTAGTATTGGTTAAATCATATAATTGTTTTGTATTATATTATTAAATCATTTGAACTAGACTAGTATTGGTTCATCTGAATTGGTATTGTCATTTCTAAAATGTCATTGTATTTTTATGATTTGGTGTTGATTTCTTGTTTTAAAACTTGGAAACAGGTTTTGTATTATTGTATTGGTTATTTTGAGCTAGTATTGGGTTTTTTTTAAGGGGTAATATTATTTTAAGAATTTGGTACTGGTTTCTTATTTTATTTTTGTAGTGGTACTCATCCGTCCGAACCAGTATTGATGCGCCTTAAACGATATTGGTTCATCTGAACGAAGACAAAAAAAAAAATAGAGAAGAAAAGCGCAGAGAGGTGGTAGGAGAAGCATGCGTAAGAGGGAAGGAGAGAGAAAATAATGTAGGTAAAATACACCTACATAGCCACAACTTTCACGTTTGTGACAATAATAGCCACTTTTTGAGAAATACGCAAAATAGCATGAATTTTGGATGGTTGTATAAAAAATCTAGCCACCTAACGGTGTTAGGGATTCTATCTTTTAGGTTAACGGTATGTTGACTAGATTGCCAAATTGATGCCACGTCAGCGACAATTCAGCCTCACTTGCCATGTCATTATTTATTAAAAAAATATATTAATAAAAAACCTCATTGAGACTTATACTCCCTCTGGTGAGAGATTGTTGGGCAGCGAGGAGCCACACGAACCCACCCAACCGACCACCCTCCACCGCAAGCCAAAGTAGAGCAACAAACCCCCTTCGTGCAAAGGGCAAACAATAAGGGCGATAGAGGGTCATCCTATCTCACGCCACGAGCATGCCGAAAATAACCTAGGGGGTTGTCATTCTTCGTTACTAAGAGCCATTTGATCCATGCAAAACAAAGCCTCAACCTTTTCACTATTGCCAACAAAAATGACAATTCACTATATCATATGGCTTTTCCATTTCAACCTTCAAATCCATAAAGCCTTTTTTGTCTTTCTTCTTTAATTTGAGGTAATGCATCACTTCGTTCCCAATAAGCACATTATCAACCATCTGGCTTTCCCGAATGAAAGAATT